AAAATTACAGTGTAAAAAATATATAAATGAAAATTAACATTTAGAAAAATATTTGCTTCTAAACTGATGTATCTTTGATTGCAATAAACAGCTATGAAGTCAGTATGGCATTACTTAGTTTAGATATGTGTAAGTTTAAGGTATATTTTCAATTCATGTAGTGAAAAGACAACAAAAACTTGCATTGCTATTATCTTCAAACAAGTTGTAAATGAAGTCAATACTTTAATTAAAAGAACTGTAAACAAATATACATAAACTTTTTGGCCTATTGAAAACCTTAGTGTTGAAGTACTTACATATTTCATGTATGTAAAATATTGAAAATAAATATGAAAATAGTGTGACAATGATCTACACTACAGTACAGTCATGTGTTGATAGAGTATGACCAGTTGGAAGGTGCCACACCAGTAAAAAGCCTGTAAAAGTAAAGGCAGTCACACTGTACTCAACATTTCCTTTGATGAACATCTCAGTGTGTTATACACCCAGAAATGTTCTTTGGATGCCAAAAATTGAATGTATGGAAGTCTTTGGGATGTCTGTGTTTTGATTACACACATTCATAGTAGGCCTAAAAGAATATTCTTTCTTATCCTGTTTTATTGCTGCTACCCTAATATTTTTTGTTTTTAAATTTAATTTTGACAAAGGCTTAAAAATGTAAGTTGCATTTTGAATCCTTATAGTTCACTTGCAACCATGATCTTTGCTGTCAAACTCTATCATCAGCATAGCAAGACATCATATGTTGTGTCAGCTATTGTATTCTTGAACTAATCTGGAATGCATGAGAATGACTTGTAATAATTCATACACACATCCCAAGCAATATTATGTGTGCACACAGATAAACAAGACAAACAATAACTAATGTCTGGCTCGAATGACTTGGTTTGGGACATGAATTTTGTTGCAATGTGACAAAGTTTGCATGGATAGAACAACATTAAGCATACAGTGTTTTGAGACCTTCAAGTTTTTATGGGACTTCCAAAATTGATGCCCTGAAAGTCTTGGCCTTTCTGGTTTTGTAAATTAGTGGAAGGGCTATATAACCAGTAGACTGAGTAGTACTTGAGTGACTCCCATCATGGGTTTCAGAATAAATACTGCATGACAGGCATGTAGAAATCAAAGTTTTGGTTGATAAGTGATACTTCATATGAAAAATTGTGTGAAGAGTTCACATTTCAGTCTTCTATATAGTAGGAACTGTATGAGACTGAAGAGGGTACATGGAGCTGGCAATGTTAAGGATAAAAATGGTTAAGGTAGATAGCCAAGGCTCTCCATAAGTGAAGTTAAGTATCTCAGTTATGTTTTTTATAAGACAGGTGATGACTGAGTACAGATCTTTCCAAAGACCTTGCTGTGAATATTGTGTGAATTTTACCTGTAGAACAATATTCTCTTCACTGACTCTATATTTTGAGCAGACTAAAGACACAACTTACCTCCTTGAAATCTTGGTTCAAAAGAAAGAGATGGCAATCAAACATGTTAAAATGGCTGAGAAAGCCACTAGTGAGACATTCTGAGCTTGTATATATATAATCTCACAAATGTAAATCTTTCACTGTTGTATTTACATGAGTGTGAACAACTTTTTCTTTCTTATTACGTGAATGTGGCACTTGTTATATTTTAAACAGGTTCTTGGTTCAAAAGAAAGAGATGGCAATCAAACATGTTAAAATGGCTGAGAAAGCCACTAGTGAGACATTCTGAGCTTGTATATATATAATCTCACAAATGTAAATCTTTCACTGTTGTATTTACATGAGTGTGAACAACTTTTTCTTTCTTATTACGTGAATGTGGCACTTGTTATATTTTAAACAGGTTAAGTAGTGAGTAGTTTCAGTTGCATATTATCTCGGGCTTGGTCTCTGGAACCAACCTTGTAACCGTTTTGTGCTTGTTATAGTTTTCATGCTATAACTTTTAAATTAGTAACCATATGTTAATGAAATTTGGCAGATTATCAGTAAAGATTATATTGCTTTCATACACAAAATATAAAGTTTTTTATTAAATTGTAGGGTTTGTAAAGTAATGTTTTTCTCGTGCCTTCTTTTTCTTTTCGTGTTTTGCCTATCCAACATGCAATGTAATTTACATTTTAGGATTAAAATACTTTTGTGAATCAGAAAATTTTTCAAATTTCACAAGCAAAATCTTTATAATATCCAACTAGTTATCAAACATTTGTTAAGAAAAAACTATATTTTTTGTTATTTTCAGTAACGAATATCTGTATGGGTTTGGTTGATTTGACTGATCTCGTAACCATGTTAAAAAAAGGAAATAAATATAAGTTATACCTTTTTTGATCTAGAATGACAACAAATTATAACACGAAAACATATTTATAATTTTTATTATATTGATCTTTCAGCCATGCTTGGCTAACAATACACAAGTTACAATGATGCAGTCACCGTATCCAATAATATACAACTGATCTTTAGTCTTTACAAAGTGACCTGTCTTGGCTGTGTTTTAGTGGACTAGTATTTAGTAAAATAGTCACATTTCAATTATTATACATAATATATGTATATAGATTATTGCTATTTAGAAATAAGTTATTAAACTTATTTTTCTTAAAACATAGAACAGTAACTGAAGAAGTAAAGCAAACAATTATCTCTTCTAGTTACAACCTTTGTACTTAGTTGCAAAGTTTTTGTAAAATTGTGCACATAGAGGATATGCAACAAAATTTAATTTTTAGGTTCTATTTATATACAGTTGAATAACTAAAAAAATCATAAAATACTATATGAATACCATAGAATTCTATTGTAATTTATCAAGCTTAGTAACTAAGCTGTATTTCAGTCTAAAAAAATATGAAATTTTGAGCCGACTAAAGACACAACCTACCTTTTTGAAATCTTGGTTCAAAAGAAAGAGATGGCATTCAAACATGTTAAAATGCCTGAGAAAGCCACTATGGGGACATTCTGAACCTCTGATTGGTTGTTCATGTCATATATAGAAGTAAGTATGTATAAGAGAGCATTTCCAAAAATGGAAAGAGGTGGGCGGGAGTGCCACTGTGTTTGATTTATTACACAAGCAATATCTTAGTAAATTGAAAAGATGCGGGGTTCTTGTTTTATATTATAGCTTCTTAATAATGGTAATATGAGTTTCTAATTCATACAAACTATAGAATTAGTATTTTGACACCACAAACATCTAATTTGAACCAGTGCTGCATTCAACATACCATGTGACACGCAAATTGATATTTAACTGTGTTTTATTAATTATATATTTACTTTTAAATTAAGAAATTGAATAATGTATAGTACTAAAATTTGAATTATAATCTACAGTTTGATACCAAACTTATTGACATAATTCATGAAATAGTAGTTCTATAAAATTTAGAATGAGAGTGAACAAACGAGATGACATGGCCTTTCA